TTACCACACTTATTATGTATTATTATCTATTAATAATATTTTAAGTGGTAGAGCCATGCTGCTATTAGTAGTATAGTTGTAGCACGAATGGGTCGGTCGGGAAGGTCCAAGCTCTCAGAGAATACCAACGTAAAATAGCAGCTCAGCGCTGTTGTGTTTCTAATGGTGAGTATGAGGAACAGGTGACCCTTTTTACTAGAAAAGAGGCATTCCATCTTAGTCCTCACGGGTAACAACGGATCTGCATTTTGATTCGTAATTGAGGATAGATGTAGATGTCTATGGGCCACAGCAACCATTTACCATCAGGTTGACTGGGTGCTCAGTTTGTCACCCTTATCCTATTTTAAAAAAAATCTTTTTTAGATTTTTATTTATGTTTTTAAATAGTTTATTATTTAGTTGTATGACAAAAAAAAATAATTTACACAGGAACTGCTACGGTAAAAGAAAAAAGCATGGAGGGCAAATGATTCGTGCGTATTTTGCGGAACACGCTGACAACGCTGATCGTCGGGGAGATCTTGCCACACACTACCGACGTCACGTGCGATGACAGCCGAAATCCGAAAGCTAGTACAAGCCTCAATGAAGGTTGATAATGAGACTCTTTGTCATAGTAACAATCAAACATTTTTAATTGTAATCATATAAGAAAGCACATTTAGTTGGACGACTGACGTTCTGAAATTCATCATGTCTAATTCCACAAAGATAGCATTAGAAATTAGTTTCACTGGCAACACGCTAAGATTGTAACAAAAATAAAAATATTGACAAAATAAATTTTCTAGAAAAGGCGGATAGTCATGTTTCATCTAAATCTAAATACTCACGTACCTAACCCGCACGTGGTACCGTTGAGATCTGCCGGCTTCCCGCTAGCCGATGAGGCTCTGATGTTTTGATAGCGCCAAATCCATACCAAGTTGTTAAACTCTTTCACAAGCTGATGACGGGGAGCGGTGTTCCCAGTGCGAGTGTATCGCCTTGTTTACCAGGTGGGTAAGTTCAGCGTGGTGTTTGATGAAATCTTTCAAGAAATGCACACCTACTTTTTTAATTACAAGTATATACCGTTTAATAAAGCTATAAAATTGTAAAGGCAGCATTGTTAAATATTTGGAAAACAATATATAACAGTTTTAATAATGAAGTACTACCTCGTTGGTGTAGGGTTCGAATACCAAGTCGAGCCAAAATCAGTTATTGTGGTTTTCTGTCTAAAAATTTTCAGTAGTAGCCCGGAGTCAGGAAGTTGGCGGTTTTTCATCTATTCTGAACTTTCTCCGGTTCAATCGGATTATGAGAGTGAGGGAATAAAGAGTGCATCTGTGTTTGCGCATACACTCGTACACTATAACCTGCACAGATGACTAGTGTCATTTGAGACTGGCCGCCGTGACCACAATGCAGTCTGGAGCACAGTATTATTAGTTAATAATCGCTAACTCGCGCATCATAATTGTATTACAATTCTACAATAATCTAATCTTGTTTCTATTACTCTGCGTTTAAAAACTAGTATTTTCTTATAAAATAATAAATTATTGCCAGTTCAGTTGAAACTTTTAATGAACGGAAATATGTTAAAGTGTAGCTACAATTTTACACTTCTATAAATTTACAGAAATATAAAAAATGCAAAATTGTCATGTTGTAAAATGTAAATCGTAATTACAAATTGTAAATTATAACTTTTACTAGTTAGCTTGAAAAGACCTATGTCAAGCAATCAATCTACTTCAGTGACGTAGAAGAATCAATGTAATAGATTTTCTTTCTTACTTAAAGAATGTAAAATTGTTAAAGTCTTTATATTGTTATTAATGTTGTTGAAATTTATTATAAAAGTATATCTAATATTGCCAAGAAACTCTTTATTATACCTATTTGTACACCTTGCTAATTTATATGAGCAAATAAAATATGTTTTTATACCAATAGCTCTTTCTTTTATCTTTTTCTTCGTTTACATCAGTATAACAACACCTTTACATTTCTAATATGTTTCTTACCTAACGTAATATTTTTAAAAAATGTAGCAAATCGGTAACCCTGTTATCGCAGGCATAGGTACTATAAATTTCGTAATACTCGACCAAGTTAAAACCCCAAATACTCCGCTAAAATTAGGAATTATGCACCAATTTCATACGTGCTCAACAGCAAAACAATTTCGTGGAATTTTCCACGTGGCTACGTGTCCCAAATTTAAAAATTATTTTGCGTTTAAGTAAAGAAACAAAGTACACACAAGTTCTCATAAAAATACACACAATCCCACGTTTTCACAGCAAGAAAAGGTTTTTATGAGTCACAAAGTTGTTTTATAGGTCAAAACATCTTTGATGAGTCAATTGATAATGTATATTTATGCGAATATTTTTATTTGAAAAATGCTCGAAATACCGCATTTACCAAGTAAAAATAGTTGATAATAAAATAATAATAAATCTTCAATTTAACAAAATATTTTTGTATATATTTAGGTTTTACGATGACTTTTTATTTGCAAGCGTCAAACTAATGAGTATAATATAGCATATTTTGTTCTGAACTTTTATTATTTAAAAGATGAAGGTATAGAGATATCCCGGGTTACCCCATGACATCAGCACATGAGTAAAGAAACCGACTAGAGGGGAAGCTACATACAAACGGCTCGCTTCGAATACACGCATACATAGCGCAGCGATGTGTGCGTAAGCTCTCACCGACAGGTTCACCGACGCTCCGTCGGGGTACAAACCGGTTTGCGCCGGCTCAGTCAGAGTGTCCATGAAAGGGCTGTTAGTCGTGCACATTTAAATAAATAGACCAAAAATATTTCGATATTTTATACATCAATTAATTTATTAAGTATTTTTGCAATTATTAAATAATTAGATTAAAGTTTTTTAATAAGAATAATTAAGAATTAAGTTATTATAAATTTGTATAGGTAAATAATAAGTTTTCTGTATAAACAAAAATGCCTAATAGTTGTACAGTATGCATGAATAATTCTAGAGAAAATAAGGATATTTCCTTTTTTTTGTACCCGAGAGATCAAGTAAAGTAAGTACCTTTTTACGTATACAATAATATTAGGTAATAACATTGATAGGTAAGTGAGAATGTGTTAGAAAGGTGCGTCGCCGAGTGATGATGTCGGTCTCACCTACTTGAAACGTTAGTCAGTCTAACTTTCACAGTGCCGTTGATGGCAGAATATCCTACGTAATAAGGCTAAATGTGTGACTTCATCCACCCACATTAGTATAGAGGTAGGTTGCTTCCTGGGGTAGGATATAAGTTACTTTTTGCGAGTCGCGACCGCATGGGTAAATACCACTGCATTATGGTTGGAATACAATCGCCAGGGATTGGTGTTGGTGGAAGTGGTGCTGGTATTGGTGGATAGTGTTGGTGGAAGTGGTGCTGATGTTGGTGTTGGTGGATAGTGTTGCTGATGGTGTCAGTGGTGGTAGAGGTGGTAGTATCGTAGGTAATGGTAGTAGGCAGTGGACCAACAGTGATTTCATCAACACCACCACCATCACCACCATTACTATCACCACCACCGCCACTGCCCACGACCACTATCACAGCCACAACTACCACCACCACCACTTAGACCAAAACTCTTGATTTCGAACAATTAATAAATGTGTTGTTACATTAATATAAGTTATAATTAATACACATGATGTCTTATGCTATACAATATTTTTATTTTTTCCTTAAAATTTTCACATTCATCAGGTGACAACCCTATCAGAATAGGTATAGATTTTCGACGTTGTTAGGGAGCTTCTCCTCTGGTCCTCTTTACTCTGTGACATCAGAACGACAAACATTTAAATATCTCCCGCAACAATATACCTAGGTGCTGTAAACACTCGAAATATTGAAAATAAAAATAAATCAAATGAAACACGATAAAATCCACAAAGTTAGTCTTACTCAATGTGTAATATTCGTGTAAAAAGTAATCAAAACGTATCTATTGTCTTTTTTGCTTGATTATTGGTGTTCAAGGTTACAATTGGTACTCAGTACTATCAGCTGGACCATAGGCTCGTTATTTTTTTATGATATTAGGGCGCCGTCTGTCATTGTCAGAACCTCTTCCGTTCAATTTAATTGTTATATATAATATCCATCTAAATGTTGAACTTATATTTTTGACGCTGGGGCCACACTAACGCTCATTATATTTCTGACGCTAGGGCCACACTAACGCTCAGCGCGGTTTATTTTTGCATTAATGGACACTAAACACGAGTATAGCTACGACTAAGTGCGCTATTTTTGTAATAGCATTCTTATTGTCATTCCGAAATTGATTATGTTTTTATTTGTAATTTTTTTCATTCAGCTAACAATAAACAGAGTAAGTGGAAGTTATTAAGCTATTGGAAACCAATTATGGGCTTTCGTTATATATAGTAACAGTATATTTGCATGTTGTAAATTAACAAGAATTAATAAGACACTATTGACTGTGTACTTGACCTTGAAACGTAGGCTTGACAAGGTAACTTCCCACAATACTAGCGATTATATCGTTAGACATTATTGTAGCTATAGTGGCGGTCTTTTTGGCACATCAAAGAAATTTAGCGCGTTATTTATAGCGTGTAGTGGCCGCAAACGCACAGCCACACTAGCGTATTTTAGTTCATATCTTGAAACCGACGAGATGTGTTACATCACAGAGACAGTGGCCCAATGGCAGCATAGGTTCGAATCCGCCATTCGATTACTGACGTGAACCACTCCTGACACATGCATTTAAGCTTACCTTATATGCTTAGCTACTTAAGAAGTGGTTAAAGGGAATGTTTGTAATTTGATTATAGCGTACGTGAGGGTAATATCCGGTTATTATGGACACTTTTTTATAACTCAAAACCCTTGTGTGCATAAATGGCTCTATGATACGATAGCTTTTCATTATTCAATCAAATATTAAAAGGTCAAAAGGGCGCCGATTTAAGTATTTCATGGTTGTGATGGAATACTTCACTAAGTGGCCAGAAGCCTTCGCCATTCCAAATCAAGAAGCTTCAACAGTTGCAGATAAACTAGTTCATGAAGTCTTCTGTCGTTTTGGAGTACCTTTAGAGATTCACAGCGATCAAGGAAGGAATTTTGAGTCTCAAATATTCCAGGAAACTTGCCAAGTTATGGGTACTCAGAAAACACGAACAACTTCTTACCACCCACAATCTGATGGAATGGTAGAAAGATTTAATCAGACATTGGAGAGGTACCTAGCAAAAGTTGTGGAAAAACGGCAACGAGACTGGGACAGGCACATACAACCGTTTTTGTTGTCATATCGAAGCGCTGTTCACGAAAGTACATCAGTGACACCAGCTTTCGCAAACTTTGGCAGAGAATTGCGGCTGCATGCAAACCTGATCACCGGAATACCACCTAATGCCCCACGCAGTATAACCGATTATGCAAATGACTTGCGGAACAAAAAGGATTAACATTTATGAGCACGTCAGACAGACGGGCCAGCAAACGTCTGAGAAGATGAAAACACGGTATGACCGCAAAATGAACAACAAGGGGTTTGATGAAGGTTCACTAGTGTGGTTACACAATCCAGTTCGCAGCAAAGGGAAATCTCCTAAGCTTCAAGCTAAATGGGACGGACCGTACCGGATTGTGACAAGGATCAATGACGTAACCTACCGGATACAGAAAGGTGCCAGAGGTACTCCTAAGATTGTCCATGTGGATCGACTGGCGCGTTATTATGGGGCCAATAATGCTCGGGACGAGCATGTCTTAGGAGGGGGCAGTGTTGCGCGCCACTATTAATGTCTTGTACATGGCAACACTAGTTACACTAGCGCCCTCTAGTGTCGAGTAGCAGAACTAGGAGAGTCGAGATCCTTCCAGAAATTTCGGGACCGATATGTACTCGAACATTCTAGATGTCGCTACAGTAGAAGGTTCTGGAAACTATCTGAGGCCCTATATAAGGCTGGTATAGACCACGACCGGGGAGTATTGAATTGGCGATACAAGAGAATACTTCGATGCGAAATAACTGCGAACCAAAGTGATTGTGTTTTATTATTAGTGTGGTTGTAGATTGTAATTAGTATTGTGTAATTAAAGTGTCAATTTTGGTAATTCAATTGGCAGTTTTTAATTGTCTCGAACCCCAAGCTCGTAACAGTATTAAGACCCGTGAACCCACCAGTGTTCAATAAACCGGGGCTTTCACTGCTACGAAGTGAAGCAAAATCAATACCTTATGATAATTTCATGCAGGATTATTCACAGCACAAAGAAACAAATTTAAAAAAACAAGAGGCAGTACAAATAACAACATTTAATAAAGAAACAACCACTTTTGAATCCCTACGCTCAGAAGAATTAAGCTCTATACCTCTTACACCATGTAAACAAATAAACACATATCCATCTTCAACTACCAGGCATATTGTTGAACCCCAAGATAATAAAAATACACCAAATTTATACACAGACGTAACTACTAAAAATTTTACTAAACAGAAAGTAATCCAGTCATATAAACACAAAAAGAAAATAATTATCATTGCTGATCAACAGGGAAGAGGAGTACGTACAACGCTTCAGCGTTTAATAGGATCTGAATTCCAGATAACATGTATGTGGAAAGATGGCGCCAAACTAGGAGAGATCACAGAATCTTTAAAAGAAGACGTTTCTCGTTTGACAAAGGATGACTATGTAATATTATTAGGTGGAACAAACGATAATAATCCCTTTGAATTAAAATCACATTTACACGTTTGGTTATCTTCTGTTAAACACACTAATTCTATTGTAAGCGAAATTCCGAACAATAAGTGTTTAAATGAACAGAAAATTAATTATGAAATTAAATTTCTTTGTAATAAGTTCATTACCTCTACATATCTCGATATGAATTACAGTAGTTTTATACCAGCAAGGAACCGTTTTTGCTTATTTTTATGTAGGTCATTATTGCGAGAGTTATTACGCCTTAATTATGTAAGTGATTTTAAAAAATATACACTCTCAAAATAAACTAGATTTATTTAACGAACGCAATCATATTGTTAAATCGTATAACGATGCTTGTACTCAAACTGAATGTGAAATATGTGAGAAATGTAAAATTTGTCCTGATAGTGTTAGAATTATTTCCGACAAAATGACTAATTCTGTTGCGCCAAATGACATCCCTGTAAACACAAACTGTAATTCTCAGTTTTTTCATGCCTAAGAGTTTGTGTGTAATGCATCAAAACATTAGTGGACTAGTAAATAAATCTGACATCTTAACGATATCTTTAGATGAATTAATGGATAAAGGTCAAATAATTGAAGTTATTTGTATTACCGAACATAATATGGTAGATGGAGATGAAGATAGTTTGACAATGCCTAATTTTAAATTAGCTTCAAGTTTCAAAAGACAAAACAGACGCGGAGGAGCCTGCATACTGGTAAAAAGTTATGTTAAATTTGTAAATCTTATTGAAATTAATCGCATGTCATTAGAAAATGTTATAGAATGTTCTGCTATAGACCTCTCTGATCATAAAGTAAAAATAATCTGCATATATCGGCCTCCTCATAACACAAATAATTCGTACAACGCTTTTTTTAACAAACTACATGACATATTGTTGAAGGTGTGTATAAAAAACAATAAAGTTATTATATGTGGTGACTTTAATATAGATATTCTCCAGACAACAAAACAATCTGTGACCTTTAAAAGTATAATACAAAGTTTTAACTTGAATATGGGAATTTCTGAACCAACAAGGCTTAAATCCTTGACTTGTATAGATAATATAATCCACAATCTCTACAATTGTCAAGGAAAAGTTGTAGAGTTATCTCTCTCAGACCATACCGCTCAAATCCTACAATGTCATATTGAGAGAACCTATGATATTAAGTACTGGTGTGCAAAAAGGAGAAATTATTGCTTGGAAAATAGAACTAAATTTATAAATGCCATAAACAATACGGGTTCAGAAAAAATAAGACAATAAACATGGCAATATATAATTTTCTTTTTAAAGTTATGACAAATGTAAACAATAAATCCCCCTGTGTTGCTCTTTTTATGGATTTAACAAAAGCTTTTGACCATGTAAAACACGAAACTCTTTTGGATAAGCTGCACTCATATGGAGTGAGAGGAAACATTTTAAATCTAATCAAATCTTATTTAATTAATAGAAAACAAATTACTGTAATAAAAGGCATAGACAAAACAACAAATATGGAAACCCTATATTATTCCGAATCCAGAACTGTGAGTTGTGGTGTTCCCCAGGGAAGTGTTCTTGGTCCATTCTTTTTTCTTGTTTATATTAACGATTTACCTCTAGTCACAAATTTTCCCATGACACTTTTTGCCGATGATTGTACTGTTCTTTTCATGACTAAAGATTTGACTGCCTTAAATAATGAAATGAATGAGACATTTAATAAAATAAATGATTGGTTGAATCTTAATAATCTTAAAATAAATTTAAATAAGACTAAATACATGACTTTTCAAGGAAGGCGATCCGCTCAGATATTACATCACTCTGATACAAATATTGGTAAAACTAATAACACAAATTTCTTAGGTTTGAAAATTGATGACATGTTAACATGGAAGTCCCATGTTGATATAGTGTGTACGAAACTTAATAGGTTTTCTTATGCACTTCGACAACTTTCTAAAACTACCAATATGTCTACACGGATTACAGCATATAATGGTTACGTAGATTCTATACTAAGATATGGTATTTTATTTTGGGGCAACTCCGTTAATAAGGAAAATGTTTTTAAAGCACAAAAGAGGTGCATACGAGCTATGTGCAATCTTAAGCAAACTGAATCATGTAAACCATCTTTTAAAAAGTTGAAAGTATTAACTCTTACTTCATTATATATTTTAGAGGTCACCATGTTCGTAAAAAGGAACATTCATCTTTATGAACATCATGTTGGTCTGCGACACACAGATAAACTCTGCTCTGTAGCAAGTAGAACAGCGTTATTTAACAAGAGCGTGTTTTGCATGGCGCCAAAAATATATAACAAAATACCCAAAAAAATTAAAGATATAAAAAATGTTAAATCTTTTAAAAAAACACTTGTCAGTGTCCTAATAAACAAAGCCTATTATACATTAAATGATTTCTTTAGTGATGATTTTTTGATACCAAATTCAACCATTGGATAAATAACTTGCTTTACATAATTATGTTAACACTAGCTGTGCCCGCGGCGTAGCTCACGAATATAGGTTTTACTTAAAGAATTTGACGTTTAGGGTAAGAGAATATTAAACGATTTATATCATTACTGTATGAATAAGTGGTAACAAAATAAATCGATACGCTCAAAGTTCTAAGTCGTTTATGATAGAGCTTCCGTGTAAACGACGATAGAAGTAGACTTAGACGGGGCGTACAGAAAAAGGTTGGCATAGAGTTGGCCATGTGCAAAACAATCAGTACTGGGGTCCACTCCTACAACGCGTAAAGTTTGACCTTGCGCTTTATTTACGATCGTCGCATAACACACGCTGAGTGGGAAACACACTTAAAATAGGGATGTTAGATGATCATCGATGTTAAAAATTAAAACTTCGATGTTTTAACATCGATGTTGACACATGTCAAACATCGAAACATCGACGTCAATGAACCCATAATCGATAGTTGGGAACTTGCAAACAATGCGAACTCGCGAAATCAATATCAACTAAATCTTGCATCTGCTCTGAAGATTAAAAATTTTGAATAATTCAGAATTCCTGAACGCATCGTTAACCTAAAAAAATGTCAGTATGGTGAGTCAAACTTAATTGTCAAGTGTCACCTGTGATGTCACAATGGTCACTGCTTTCGCTTTATTTTGTAGTGTCGTTGTCGGTTGTCGCATAATAACTATTCTACGTAAATTGATATTCAAGTTAATAGTTACTTTTCCCTTGATGTGTATACCCACATAATTTTGAAACAATGTGTAAGTATCTACACATATACAAAAACCATCGATAATGGTCATCATCGATGTTTTGAGTAGCCTAAACATCGAACATCGATGTTGAGCTATCGATGCCAACATCGATGTCATCATCGATGTTATTATCCCTATCTTAAAACTGTAAGGAAAGTTATTTGGTATTAGAGGTTTAGAGGGATTCTGGGTATAAAACAATATCACGACATTTATTGCAAATTTACTACTTTTAGTCGAGTTTTGTTAATAATTTCGACGTACGCGGTACGTCTCTTTTTTCTGTTTCTGTCGGTGTTTGTGCTTTGTGTTGTTAGCCTACACGGCTCTAACAGTCTTGCAGCTTCGTCGGACTCATGAACTTGTCACGAACATAAATTTTTTCAGTGAGTGTCAATACGATTCACCTGCGAAAAATCTTAACACCGCAATTCAGAAAAGGTTGTAATTTGTACAACGCCATCTATTACGTTCTTTGTGAGAA